GGCGCAGCCATGCTGGTCACCGTGTTCTGCCTGCGCCGGGACCGCTCCGAGCTCACCTTCTCCCTGCAGGTGGACGCCGACTTCGAGCTGCAGAACTTCCGGGCGCTCTGCGAGCTGGAGTCCGGCATCCCCGCGGCCGAGAGCCAGGTGAGGAGACCTCGCCCCCCCCCGCGCGGGAGACCCCGTGTGGATCCCTCGCAAAGAGCCCCATGCTGGTCACCGTGTTCTGCCTGCGCCGGGACCGCTCCGAGCTCACCTTCTCCCTGCAGGTGGACGCCGACTTCGAGCTGCAGAACTTCCGGGCGCTCTGCGAGCTGGAGTCCGGCATCCCCGCGGCCGAGAGCCAGGTGAGGAGACCTCGCCCCCCCCCGCGCGGGAGACCCCGTGTGGATCCCTCGCAAAGAGCCCTGGACAGGGGCCCCCCGACCTCCCCTTCGGGCACGGGCACCGCCGGGCCTTGTGGCCTCGGAGTGACCCCGCTGGCAGCCGTCCCGCCACCTGCCTTCACGGCCCGTCTCCCGGGTAAGCCAGAGCGGCTCACCATCCCGGACTCGCAAAGTCTGGGCACGTCCGCCTAGTAGAAACCCTCCTGTTCTGCTCTGAGTGGGGAGGTTCCCGGTTGTTGGACGCCAGGTGAAACTGCTGCTGTCATCTTCAGAAGAAGAAAAAAATCTTTCTCTCGTGGAAAAGTCTTGGCTCTGCTGAAAGCACATTAAGACCCTTTTCTTCCCTCGGGGAAAAGTCTTTGGAGCCACCAAATCCACTTTATTGCTAAAAGTCTCTCAGAGATGCCATTCTTTCCAGTGTCTCTGGCTGCTTCCTACTGCCCCATTTCAAACCTGTCCCCATCTTGTTTCTGAGAATCATCTAAGTCCCTAGCGAGAAGAAAGAGCAAGGATTTCTTTGCCCTTTAAGAATGATGAAAATTGTGAGAGCCTTGGGGTAAGGAGCCTGGTCTCCCAGCTCAGCTGCTGCCTAGGGAAACATCCCCCAGTTGTTACTAAGAGGTTGGCTGCACCTTCCGCCCATCTAAGAAATTAACACCCTCTTCCTCATTCTATTGAGGAAAGAGATGAGAATTTCCTTAGATTTCCTCTAACCCTTAGTACATCCAGGTTGACTTGGTCCCTGGACCCTGCTTCAGCCGGAAATATAGTTTGGGGTGTGTGAGAATGAGGTTTTTCACTTCCTTTTGGCAGTGGAGAGACAGCTGAAGTGAAAACTGGTGTCTGACTAGTAGAGAATATCCCAATCTAGTTCAGATTCAGTAGGGCTTTACTGACCTGACAAACAATACAAGTATTCCCAAAATGTAAGGGGGGAAAAAACAAATACTGTTTGTCAGACAATTACAGCCCATCCAGGATCATTTTACACCCCATTTGGCATTTGGTCTCTGATGACCATTTGTCATTTCTGTCCTCTGATCTGATGGCAGTGCTTTTATGTAGTGTAGTGCTGTGCCGTTTCTCTCCTTTCTTATAATCCCAAACCAGAGGCTTGATATACCTGTCAAAACTCATGAAGCCTTCTGTGATCACTGACTTTGCTTTTTTTTGGTCTTTTTCCAAAAATATACTCTCAGCTTTGGGCTGTTAAACCTACTGTAATTTACATTTTAAGTGAATATTAGTGCTGGTGAAGGATTTTAGATTGCCAGCTTTAGTGGTTGTCAGTTTCCCCGTGCAACAGGTTCTGTGGGCAGCAGCAATATAATCTTCTCCCCCACAGTGCCCAAGAATTCTGACAGAGTTCTGGATGAGCCACCTCCCCATCCATTCTGCTGTGGTTGGGTTGAGAGGCATACTTCAGACGGTAAGAAGATTAAGATGAATGGTTTTGTGGTGTGGAAAGGGGGTAAGAATTGAATGATGTGGTTGCCACTATCAGGCCACATCTCTAAACCCAATTTGCTTCCCCAGATTGTCTTTTAATTTTGGTTCAGCACTTTAAGACATGCAAAAATCTCAGGAGATCAAATCATAAAAGCTCTTCAGGTCCTGAAGAATGCAGCCTGTGTAGTGCAACAGAATCCTGATTTGGGCGTCTGGGCACTATAAAAAAAAGTGTGTGTTAATAAAGGACATCTAAAAACAAACATGAAAATAGTATGTACAGTCCATGTGCATGATATTGGTTTAATGATGACTTTTGATCACTTCTGAGTTTGGGTGAGTTGATATCAGTTATTTAAAAAGCTCTGCTTCCCCTGACATGTTGCACAGAATCCTGTTAAAAAGTATAAATGTTAAATATTGCTTAATGTTTAGTAAAAGCCAACGCAAGCCACCATGGTATCAAATTACTGTTCTAATCACTGCAGTTCAAAATGAGATTAGAAGATCAAAGGTCTGTGAAGTTCCTTACAGAAAACTCTTAATTTTTCTCAGTGGGGGCTAGGGATGTTAAATATCTGTTAACTGAATAGTTGAGTAACCTCGTGAATTCTTATCGGTTAGTCGACTATTCTGTAGTCCCTGGGGCTGGGGCTGGGCCCAGCAGCCTCTGATACAGAGGCAGCAGTGCAGGATGGCAGCAGCCCCTGTCTAGGGTGGGGTCTGAGCTGCACTCCAGAGTGAGCCGGAACTGAGCTGGGCTGCCTGCTCACCCGGTTCCTAACATACTTTAAATGCAGAACCATAGCAGGGGTAGGTCCTGGACCCATTGCAAGCAAGGACTGAACTGGACTGCTGGCCAGCCTGCTAAAAAGCTTTCTGGCCGGAGGAGGGGTGGAAAGTGTGTAGTCTATAGCATTAACCTATAAGCTTTTGCTTATTGGTTAATCAACTACACTGTTGCATACCTAGTGGGGACTGGGAGTGAGGGACCATTGGATCTCCAAAATTCCTATTCTTTTTATACTGCTGTCAACCCATGTTTATATAGCGAATGAAGGAATATCAATACCAGATACAAGATCTTAAATGACTTGTCCTGGTACAGGAAAATCAGAATCCCAGGCTTGTTTGTAAGGAAGAGGACCACATGACTTAACACTGAAAGCTGTGATTTCAAAACCATGAATATCCTGTATTCTTTCTCTTGCCAATGACCAGCATAACTTCTCTGCATGTGAGAATGTACAAATGCCTGCAGCCAAAGGCTTGAATTTCTGAAGTCCTGCCTCTTGTTTTTCAGATCTCTCTCCAGCTACTTGCATCATGGTAACTGACAGCATTAAATCTATTTTAAGATCATGGGTGGTCGTGCGCTTGTTCCATCTTTGGGACTTTTTCCCTCTAAGGCTGCTGCCTCAGCAAATAATTTTTAAATGTTATAGCTTCTACAGTTATCAACCTCAGATAACCTGCAATTGACTGCAGGTTAGAATATAGGGCTGGAAGAGACCTCAGGAGGTCATCAAGTCCAGCCCCCTGCCCAAAGCAGGACCAACCCCAACTAAATCAATCCAGCCAGGGCTTTGTCAAGGTGAGACTTAAAAACCTCTAGGGATAGAGATTCCACCTCCTCCATAGGTAACCCATTCCAGTGCTTCCCCACCCTCCTAGGGAAATAGTTTTTCCTAATATCCAACCTAGACCTTCCCCATTGTAACTTGAGACCATTGCTCCTTGTTCTGCCCTCTGTCATTACTAATCCCTCACTAATTCCTGCTTCCATCCATGTTCTCCTTTGCTGGTCACTTTCCCTTTCTGCCCCATATCTTTGTCATCTGTATCATGACTTCTAGTCAGCGCCTCTTTCTGTAGAGCATTTTGCAGTCTTTCATAGGAAGAAACTGTGTAAATCCACTTTGTATTTTACTTATTGGAAGATCAGCTTGTTTACTCAAGGAAGGATTATGCTTGCTTAAACTGACAAATAGATTTTTAACTCTGGTATCATAATCTTCTTTTTACAATGATCAGAGGCATGTTGCTTTAAAAGCTCCTGCCTTAAGGACAGTAAAATTCATAGCAGACCTTACATAGTAGGGACTAAACCAAGGTAGTAAAGGAGCTCAAGTGTTGGAATGAGAAACTCGTGCTCTGTATTGAACTCTGGAATTAATTTGTTTTCACTAATATTTAGGAAGAAGTGAGGGCAAGAAGTCTTGACTAAAGGTTGCACTGTGAAGAAAGGGTTAATGGAGGTGGTTGAAGTCAAAGATGTGCCACCTCTTTGTCTAAGAACAAAGCCGCTTGTGAGGAAAGGTGACACAAGGAACATGGAGGCAAGTCAGGCAGTCAGATTGTAGGGTCTGTGGAAGAAGTAAAGGGCAAAGAGAGATGATTGGGTATAATGGGATTTTGCCTCCCATTCACCTCTAAATTGCTAACAAGTTTTTGGGGGGAATCCTGGCTAATAGGTTATGCCACCCATCCTAAAGGATTTGGAAAGGGAAGGGAATCTGAACAAAATATGCTGCTCGAATTTGTTTTGGAGTCTTCTGGGGTCATGAATATTAAATCTGCTTTCCTTCTTCAGCCCCTGCCCCACCTCCATTTACTGACCTGCTCACATAACACCTCAGCTAAGGAGCTCTGGAACCCATCAACAGTTCTGAGTGTCAGGAGTTTCTTTACATGGGTGGCTCCAGGAGCTTAGAACTGATTCTTGCACTATAGTGCTGCTGAGAGAGCTAAAGCAGCCTCTAGTTTATTACATTGCCAACAGTATGGTCAGTATTTATAAAGAGTGCTAATATGTTTTCTTGTCTGCAATTACTTGGGGCCAAAATCTCGTTGGTATCCTATTGAAAATTAATGTAAGATTTCTTTTTCTAGATTTTTACTGATTTTTTTATGTGCTGCCTGGGGATCTCTAGTAGGAAGTTTCACTGATCTCCCTTTGTAAGGTACTTTGAAATCTACTGATAAAGTGCTATACAAGAGCTAGGCATTATTATTATGTACCAGTCTTAGACCAAGACCTTGACTGTACTGGACAGTGCCTATCAGTTGTGTGTGGTCTTCACCTGCTATGAAACCTAGGCAGCTCCACATCCCTAGATGTGTGCAAGATCTGTGGCAGGCTAGAGTGTGCATAGCTGAATAGACTGGGCAGTTGTGGTACTCTTGAGTCCCACATAAGGTCACTGTATTTCCCTACGCTGAATATGGGACACCTGGTAAAATTACTTGTATTCAAGCAAGGTCAATGACAATTAGTCAGTATGATGCACCCAAATTAACATTAATCTGAAGTTTGAGCAATGTTAAAAAGAGATGCTGCATTGTTGGATTCTTTCTTTAAGGCTTTATGGTTCTTAGGGAGAGAAGTGGCATGCACTTAAACCTGTCACAGGAGGAGGGAGTGACTAATTGACCTGACCCTCCATGCCTGGTTGTGCTCTCTACATGGATCCGCCTCTCTTGGTACCTGGTACCACATCTTCCTGAAGCAATGTGTGGGGAACACACAGGGTCACATGCTCCCGTCCCTGGGTTTCTGCAGGGTTCAGAATGTTGCTAGCAGCAGCCTCTCAGCACTGTGTGAAAGGGAAGGCATGGGAGCTGTTTCTAGCTTCAGGGAGGAAAGAGGAGGATCTGGCCTGTGTCTTTCTAGTTCTCATCTCTTCTCTCCCTCTGTCGTCCCCCGGCCCATCTTGTCCCCTATGGCTGAGAGCAGCTTGTCCTTTCCTGGTCCCACAGTGTTGAAAGGAAGCTAATATGTCCAGGCTGTTGTTGGCCACCAACATAGCTCAGCCACCTCCTGTCTCCCAGCTACAGCACAGGCAGGAAAAAGTTAAGCCCTATGGATGCATTATATACGAGGACCCTGGTAACCTGGCTGCAGGGGCTAGAGGTAGATCAGCAGGGGCGAGTACTTAGGGAATGAAGTAGCCCTGAATTCCCTGTGGATAGGACCCACGGCAAGGAACAGGGTGGGAGAAGAGGGTGCTAAACACCTGCTCAAGGGGCAGCTGTGGAGCCTGCAGGGTTGGGTTGCAAACAAGCTTCTTTCCTTCTTCCCTGCCACTCTATAGCTTAGCTGAGAGGTGAAGGTACTTCCCCATCCCAGTGCTGTGAAGGGCTTGGATTAAGGATGTTAAATATTGAGTAATTAACGAGGAATTTCCATCAACTAGTTGACTAGTGGATAGGCATTTCTGCATTCCTCCTTTGAAATGTACAAGAGGCCCTCACTGGGGCCCTCACTGGGGCTCTTGTACATTTCAAAGGAGGAATGTGGAACTCCACATGCAAGTCCCACTGACTCCGGGCTACCCTGGGGGCTCTTGTGCATTTCTGAATCCCTTGCTGACCCCGGGCTCCATGCTGCACTGATGCTTTGAAATGCCACACAGAGCCTGGGTCAGCTAAGGACTGCCCATCTGACCCCAGGGTCTGTGCAGCATTTCCCCGGAACCCAGGATCAGCTGGAGTCTCCCAGGCTCTGCGTGCTTTGAAATGCCTCGGAAGCAACTGGTGACCTAAAACACTTCTTGAAGTGGTTCCTGGTGGCCTTTCATGCGAGATTGTGTCCCATCAGCACTTTTTCGGAGCGCTTTGGCAGTGTGGACACTCTTTTGGAAGAAGTTTTTTTGGAAGATCTCTTCCAGAAAAGCTTCTTCCAAAAGAAGCCTGCAGTCTAGACATAGCTCTGATGTCCAAACTAAACCTCCCTTGCTGCATGTTAAGCCCATTGCTTCTTGTCCTATCCTCAGAGGCCGAGGAGAACAATTTTTCTTCCTTCTTGTGACACCGTTTTAGATATCTAAAAACCGCTATCGTGTCCCCTCTCAGTCTTCTCCTTTCCAAACTAAACAAGCCCAATTCTTTCAGTCTGCCCTCAGAGGTCATGTTCTTTAGACCTTTAATCATTCTTGTTGCTCTTCTATAGACCTTTTTAATTAAACTTTTTTGTTTGGT